GACGGACGGACGGACGGACGGACGGACGGACGGACGGACGGACGGGCGAATAGACAGACAGACAGAAAGTGCGAGAGAAATGAAGAAAGAGCGAGAGAACAAGAGAAAAAGAGTGGTGCAGCGAATGGGAGGAAGTGCGTGGCCAACACAAACACTACACTTGTGAATAAAGTCAAGAGCGTATTAAGTATACTTAAGTATATAATTAAGTATACTTAATGCGCTCTTGATAAACTGCTTACCAGCTGAGTGAGTGTCATGTTTAGGTCCTGCGTGTATTGCTGTCGACCGTCGCGTAGCGTGACCGACCACTTAACACCATCGATGATTCGCAGCACAGCCCTGGGCTCCCGATTAAAGTTTGAGTACGCTAGCAAACATTATATAACCACTTTTAATTTATTCTGTATTATTCATATTGGCGTCGTTCGTCGATATTTCTAACTGTCAGGTATTAACGGATTATTGACACGCATACGGCTAATGTTAATAATTTAGTAGCCTTGCTGGCGTGGTTACGTGGGTAAGACGGGTGACATTTCGCGTGCATAGTGTAAGATAACCTGAGTCATTTCAGTGTCTCTGCTGCAAAATATTTAGGTGTAATATTTTGCTACAATTTATGACAAACGCAACTAAAAACGCGTTTTATTTGATGCTCTTAAAAATACGAAGTATGCAGTACACTTTACGATAATTTTGTACTTACCCGTAAACGAGTGAGATATGCGGTCGATTTTATATCCAGTTACATTGCCATCTAGTCGCTCAACGGTTTCTATAAAGGCCGATGCTACCTCCTGAACCACTGATTCACTTGGAGTAGTCGAGTTGCTTGTAATCCAAAGCAGAAAATCTACCCATACTGATCCCGAACTGAAATCAGACAGAGAATTCCCGTCATCTTGATCCAGAAATTGAAGATCTTATTTTCTTATTTAGAAACTGGATCTTGCAGCTATCGTGTAGTGCAGTGGTGTACATTGATTATAGTGACCGTCTGAGCATTTCCCGATAGATTTTACCAGATGTTCTCTCACACTGTATGAGTAGATTTAATCTACACTAACGACATTTAATAAACTACAATAACGACGCTTTTTTGCAGTTCGACATTACATTCGCGAATGGTGCGGTTATTTAATGTATGCAGGAAATTGTAATTTAAATATGACTACGGTAGTGTTTCATCGGCTCACCTGAACTTCAGTATGGACACTCTTATAAATCTGTTTCTTATGGAACTATCTTCAAATAGTCGTGACAACTGCAATAACAGAAAGCGCAATCGCACCGTTTTACACATTTAACACAAATCCTATTACGAAAATCAATTACTAACCATAAAGTATTAGAATAATTAAATAAAATTAAAACCACTAAGAGATAATTACCAGTAATCCCAGTAACGAGATTTTAGCATCGGCATTTTGCCAACCATTTCTTCATGAAGTCAATAAGGAACAGAATCGCTTTCAGACTCACAACCCTTAATCATCAATTTTAATGTTGTCGGTTTAATCGATATCATCGCTATCATAGCCTCGTGCAATTAACGTGTAATGGTTTTATATCAATTCCGATAACAGAGGCGAAATATAACAGCTGACTGCAGTTATTGTGTTTACGCGTAAACTGTAGTAATGGAAAATTACCATTTCTTTCATTTTATCCTCTGCATCTTGAAATTCTATGGACGTACTGATTGCCAATTGTGTTGTAAACTCGAATCCATCTGTTATCCGAATACGTCCTTTCACTTTTTTAAAGCCCTCACTTGGCTCTATAGCCGTTGATGTGGACATCATATCTGGCAAAGTAGTAGATGAATCAACTGTTGATCTAATTTCGTTTGTAGTTTGAAGTTCCGTTGACTGAATATCTCCTGTAGTTGTAGGTTCGGCTGATGAAACCTCATCTGGGGTTTGACGTTGTGCTGACGGAATTGTTGCTGTAGTTTGATGTTCTGTTGAATGAACTTCTGCTGTAGTTTGAGGTTCTGCTGATAAAACGTCTGCTGTAGTTTGATGTTCTGCTGATGAAACCTCATCTGGAGTTTGACGTTGTGCTGAGGGAATTGTTGCTGTAGTTTGATGTTCTGTTGACTGAACTTCTGCTGTAGTTTGAGGTTCTGCTGATAAAACTTCTGCTGTAGTTTGATGTTCTGCTGATGAAACGTCTGCTGTAGTTTGATGTTCTGCTGATGGAACGTCTGCTGTAGTTTGAGGTTCTGCTGATAAAACGTCTGCTGTAGTTTGATGTTCTGCTGATGGAACGTCTGCTGTAGTTTGATGTTCTGCTGATGGAACGTCTGCTGTAGTTTGATGTTCTGCTGATGGAACGACTGCTGTGGTTTGATGTTCTGTTGACTGAACGTCTGCTGTAGTTTGATGTTCTGCTGATGAAACTTCTGCTGTGGTTTGAGGTTCTGCTGATGGAACGTCTGTTGTAGTTTGAGGCTCTAATGACGAGACATCTTTTGTAGTGTTAGGTTCTGCTGATAACACTTCTGTCGTAGTTCGAGGTACTGGTGATGAGACCTCGTTAGTTGTTTTAGATGCTGCTGACAGCGTGTCTGTGTTCGTCTGAAGATCTACATCTGCGGATGGGCCGTATGTTAAAGTTTGAATTTCAGGTGATGAAACTCCTGTCGCTGTTAGCGGTTCTGATAATAAAACGCCTACAACGGTTTGAAGTTCTGATACTGTAATTTCTGTTGCAGTTTCAGATGTTGCTTGTGTCGACGAAACTTCTCGTGTCGTTTGAAGTTCCGATGATGTAAGTTCTCCCATAGTTTGCCGTTCTTCTGTTGTTTGAAGTTTCGCTTGTGTTGAGGAATAACCTGCAGTAGTTTGTCGCTCTCCCGATGAAACTTCTTCTGTAGTAAAATCATTACACAAAATTATATAGACATACGTACATATAGCGACTAATAGTATTTTACTCTGAAACTGTAAATATTATTGCTTTCTATTTGTGCTGACGTAAAAGCATGCTTACGTTGCGCTCTTCTTGGGTCATGTTAGTTAGGTTGAACATATGTTGCTTGCCATAGATAGCAGGCGATGTATAACATGCATTCCGGGGAGTTTCGCTACATTGTCATCAGTTCGTCATATAGTCATATAGTCATATAGTCATATAGTCATATAGTCATATAGTCATATAGTCATATAGTCATATAGTGTCGTTCAGGAATTAGCTTGCACATAGCACCGCGTCAGAGTGTCACATTAGCTGGAAGCGGTACGTGTCGCGAATAATTCGCGCGGACATTCAGCAAAGTGACGCCGTCAGTACAGCGGGAATTTGTCCCTTGCGGGTGCCGTGAGATTACAGAGCTCGACATGCTTTCTGCGCTCTGTATTGATCCGTGCCTTTGATAGACAGACTTCCTACCATGTTGTTACGCGATGCTCTGAGCTGTAGTGATTGCCCGGCGTATATATTTGGGCGCCCCGCTTTCTATAATTTCGGACGCGTCTACATAAACGATGAATTGCTCATCATTACAAGCCAGCGTAACCATTCTAAGCGCTCTCGCCAATTTTTGTAGCTAAATTAACCTTTAACGTGCCCGTTGAAGAAGATATTATGATAGTTGTTATATGATAGGAAATGAATTTCTTAATTTACATATCGGTCTGATGAAACGCTCTATGCGGTATCGCATGTAATATTCGGAGAACATAACATTATTGTCAATCTAATTCCGCTTAGTAGTAATTAAGTTTCTTTAGCGTGATCCGTACCGCGTCATATTTCAACTCCGACAACTCAGCTCTATGTCTGACATACGTATATCTGGCTCATACCTACCTCACTATTAAACCTTCCACTGCATTCACGACCGATTCTTACCGTAGCGATCTCAGCTCAACTCCCACAAGCACGCACAAATACATACGCGCGAAACATATCGACAGATGCTCATACACGCACGCACAGGCACATACACTTCCATTCCCGTGCCAATAAACATCGTCATAATGGACATAGATGATACACAGCAAAATCCACTGCCAAGACACGAAGAATAATTTAATCCGCGGTCGGCAAAACCGGTTGCCATCGATCGAAAGCACATTACAACAACGAGAATAAGCGTGTATGTTCGGAGGGCAATCAAGTAGCTTAAGATGTTGCTAAACTAATTTGAAAGGCGTGCCATAATTGACTGTCTACACAGAGATTGCAGTGGGTACACAAATTGTATATTTACCGCGGAATCTGCGCAGACCACGACATATTACATGCTCTATATTGCTCGCTTTGCTGTAAGATACGCTTTTAATTAAGCAAAATGTAAGAACTAAATTAAGACACCAATAAAAAAAATGTCATTCATTAAATTTAAATCATAACATTATTATAAAAATACCTTTGCGTGGCTTAACCGGGCGAGAGTTCTTTGCACTACAAGGCGGTTTTCTAATTAGGTGACAGCTAGGAAAACTTATCTATACTAGTATCATGTTTCAACTCTCTTAATGCTTATATACGCAGCCCCGCCATCTTTCACAAAGATCTAACTGAGCTACGGCTCTGCCTTACTGCATCCGATTTTATTTGAAAGCCAACAATGAAGCTCATACATTAAGGGATATTATTTTAAAACTGGTCATGCAACCTCGTCTGACTATCAATGAGCATCTGAATATTAGAGCCGTAGAAAGAAGAAGATCGTCATCTGACCAGTTTAGAATCGACATCATGATTTTTCCTTTTTGGGTTATGATTACAACGCCGGCTAACCCTTTCGCCATCATTGCCTAGTAGAGTTTGAATTGTACTGTGACTTTAGTGATGAATTCCGTGCAGGAACTTGTCGCAGCGTACTCTTAATTGTGACAGCCAGTAAATATGACGTAGTCACAGATTCATTGTTGAACTAGGACTTTATTAGTACACGAACACATACAAAATATATACATACGGCAACCTAGGTGGGTGACCGTGCCTAGGTCCCGTTATCTCCGTTTTCGTCTATCTCTCTACATCGTCGTATCTCCTCTGGGTAATGACTCGGTAACTCCGTAACTCGGTAACTAACTCTTCCGTCTCTCCGAGCGTCTATTTATATACGCTTCTTAAAACAACCCGGACTCAATACAATCCGAACCAGTTTCTCACCCGCTGCTTCTACTATTAGTGACATTTAACGCGCAATTGTCTGTAATCATTAGAATATATATATAATCATTAGAGCGCGTGGTGGGGCTACGTATATAATAATGCCGTACATCCCGCGTCATTACCAAAACAACAATAACTAGCCAGGGTTAGAAGTATAGACGCAAAGCCCTAATTAGCCCGCAGCCCTACAATACAACATTAGTAACGACAAACGGAAGATAACGTGACTTTTCACTATGACCGCTGTACTCGTTTGGAAGCATGCCTAGCAGGGTTGGTCAAAGACGCGGGGATCAGTTTACCATACGTCGATTCGACGATCGACAGCAGCTATATGTATACGAGTGTGATGATGCATCCATCAGAATGACAGATGTAATCCCGAAGGTTTTCCATGGCTAAAGAATTAGACATAATCACTATAACTATGTCTCGGTTCTGACATTTGTAAACCTTTAGGTTAGTGGGAGCGTCTGAGGAAAACAGGGGGTGAGCCCTGCCGGAGAAAAATGGAAGTTACTAGACGGGGCAACGATCTACGAAAAACTACAGCCACTCTTTATGTATATAGCACCATGCTAATCTCAATAACTTTTAGAAAGATGAAGGGCTTATTCTTCCGTACCTATCTGATATATTACAATATACAACTATACAGATATAGTCAATGCAATTATTTCCTACTAAAAACGCTCAGGACGCCACTTCAAACTCAAATTTCTGTGGGGAAATACGCAACCCCTAGGTTTAGATTTAGTCGTTGGCCCCAATGTGGTCACTGACATGTGCAATCATATAACCCCTTCTTCGTTATAGCCCCCCCCCCACACACACACATACACACATTCTTTAGCTCCCCCATCGGGGACTTTCGCCTTGTGTCCGGCAATGCCTGGTGCCACCCCTGCTTTGGCGGAATATTCGGCAATCTACTATGCATGTATGTATACACACAGGGAAGCTGCATTTATTATTTAAATAATGATCGCCACTGCGCTTCATTTGCGTACGTGATATTGAACTTTTACAGGATCACTTTGAGAAACAGTGTGAAGGATTGGAGAGACCTGCCGATGTCACTGGACCGATACACTACGATGCCCTACAGACCACTATCAAAATGCACCATTAGACTAATAAATATTGCTTTTACGGAACTGTACGACATATAAAATAACGAAAAGATAATCGAGCGGACCTAAACAGATATATGGTGTACACGCCAGAACAAGCAATTAATGCCGCTAACTGAATTTGATTTATGACAACCCTCGCACCCTCCCTCCCTCCCTCCATCCATCCTCCTCCATCCCTCTCCCTCCCTCCTCCTCCTTTCTCCTGCCTCCCTCCTCCTTTTTATCCTTTTCTCCTCCTTCCCTCCACTCTCCTCTATCTCTTCTCCCTCATTCTCCTCGCCTTACCTCCGCTCTCCCCTTCTCCCCTCTCTTCCCTCTTCCTCCCCGCGCACCTGATAGCTGCCTTCACGACCTCCTCCAGATAATATCGCGGTGTATCTATGCAATGTAAAGTTGTAACCCTCTCTCTCTCTTTCTCTTTCTCTCTTCTCTTCTCCTCTCTGTTGGTGTGTGTGATGTGTGTGTGTGTGCTGTGTGGAGTGCGTTGCTGCGTGCGTGTGTCTGTATGTGCGTGACGGTGTAGTGTGTGTGTGTATGTTGTGTGTCTGGTGTGTGTGTTGCGCATTGTGTGTGTGTGTGTGTGGGGTGTGTTGTGTGTGTGTGTGTGGCATTGTGTGTGCGTCCCGTGCGTGCCAGTGTGTCTGTATGTGCGTTGGCGTTATTCGCTGGCAGTGTGTGTGTGTGGTGTGTGTGTGTGTCTATGTGTATGCGTGTGTGTGGTGTGTGTGTGTAGTGTGTGTGTGTGTAGTGTGTGAGTTGTGTGCTGTGTGTGTGTTGTGTGTGGTGTGCGTGGCTGGTGTGTGTGTGGTGTGTTTATTATATGTTTCCAGATATAAACATTTGTTATGCTATTTATCGTATAGCCATCTCGCATACGATTTTAAGCGCTCTATATAACCGAGTTCGCTGTGACACTAAAAAATTCAGTCATCGACTCATGATAGTTCCACCATTGAAGCAGAATCACGAGAGCGAAAATTATATTGAAATAGTAGGGAATAGGAGCATAGGCGTAGTGGACGAGTATTAGAGAAATCTAGTAGAGGCGGGGGGAACGAACGACTCTATAGAGTATCCAACAGCACATTGATAATTAAACATCGCAACGCTTGAGATTGGGTATTATTGCAACGGCAGATTCGGGCGATTAGTTTAGAGGGCACAGAAAGGTGTAGATTGTAGCGAGCACGCTGTCGCCTAGAGCTGGGCTAAATCATACTTCATAAGCCCCAATGTTAGAAGCTAACGCTGCAGAATACTCTATAGGCTTACCGGCGGGACAGCGTTGGCCGGCCGTCCCAGAACCAAAGGTTGGGTTTTGGACAGTCCAAAATTGACGCTAGAGATAGACAGCGGTGGTCAACGTTCGTCATACTAATGGCGATGCCGAAACAATAGGTGAGATGGCGAAGCGGACGGCCGAGGCGAGAAGGGACGCTGTACGACGGTTAAGGGCACGCCCAGTAAGGTATAAAAGGGGCATGCGGATAGAGATGAACGTAGGCCGGTCTATGACGACAGAGTGCTAGTGCGAATAAAACGGACGTTTTTCACTGTGACAATCCTATGTTCGCTGTATAACACGACTTGAATTTATTCGAACCTT